ATGGAAACATGTCCGACTGAAAATTTCTCCTCTCTTCTTTATCTTTCCAATCTTTAGTCTGCTTTTATTTTGTGAAAACTAGGCACAAGTCTTCATGGTTATGTTTGTCTGTGTGTGTCTGTTCAACTAAAGCAATTTTGAACCAATGGTCAGATTTTCATTAATTATTATGTTATGGGAGGCCACCCCATATTAATATTTATCCCTTGAATAGTTATGTTGATGGTCTGGGTTGTGATACCATGTGGACTCATAGGTAGATACCAACATCTTTGTTTTCAGCCCCAAAGATAGAGATAGTATGTTTTTTCAGAATCATTGATGTCTACCTACAAGTCCACATGGCATCACAGCCCAGAAAAACAACATTGACATCTTTACCACTGTGAGAACTCCAAATCTCACTCCTCGAATGGTTAATTTACTTAATCATTAAAAGAAAGTTGTTCCAAATGGGAAAATTGTAGTGTAGAATTTCCCATAAGAGACGAGGAATAAGGACTCGACATGCTGGTTCACATGAATAAATAATGTATTTGCAGTAACAATAATTAGAGGAAAATGCCCGCAACCAATCTTATTGAACGGCAGAGTGCGGGTGATGTCTAAAGGTCGCACTGCAAGATTCAAATGTGACCAAGCATTCCAGCTGTTGGGAGAAAAGTATGCAACCTGTCTGCGTGGGAAATGGGATACAATCTCCATTTGTGTTAGTAAGTGAAAAATTCTCGAGTATTACGTCATAATGGCACCATTTACCTTATTTATAAATTACAAATGGCATAGTTAAGTGTGTAGCACTCATGATCTGTATTTGGTAGGTCTTGGGTTCAGTGTAGACCAAGAGACCAGCTATCATGGTTTAGATTTGTAGACCAAGAGACCAGCTATCATGGTTGAGATTTTTTGTGGCTTTTCTCAGTCCCTCTAGGCAGATGCCAGGATACTACTTGAAATTGTAGTGAAAGAGTTGATGACAGGCTGATAATGCAGTGATTGTGAAAGGGAAAATGGTAGTATGGTCCAGGTCATATACTGATATTTATCTGTCAGTTCAGTCAAGACCACCTGAGATTCAAAGCAGGTACTCCCTGAATTGATGTTAAGTGTTCCACCCTGGAACTATCCTGATTATCAGTGTTGGTGAGTATGACAGTAAGTTGACATAAATTCATTTGGTCACTGTTACTCTCTTTGTATTAAGGTATTTCATTATACTGTTGTAACTTGAATCATAAAAGCTGTACATTTTTCTTTGTTAAGCCATGAAGGTGCAAAGATGGGACATTTATTCATTCTTAAACAGTGAATGTCATATCAATGCAGGACCAGAAATATCATCAAGTTGTGTGTATCATTTATATAAATGAATTACTCTGTCTTCAGAGTTGAGGTATGTCATTATGTTCTGAAAAATTAAGTTGAAGATTTCTGTCTTCTGGGTTGTTGCGCTGTGTAGTCTGGTCGATATTAACCAACGTTTCAGAGGTCATACTGCCTCCGTCATCAGGGCGATGAATATTCAGACTACACAGCGCAACGACCCAGAAGACGGAAATCTTCATACTCACCGCTGTGAAAACCTCAAATCTTACAAAAATTAAGTTGTTTGAACAGCACTGAGACTGTTACCAGTTTTTGTAAAAGGATTAATTACAAATTATTTGTTACAGAATCAGGTTGTCTCTCATTGCCATTCCTGAAAAATGGACAGATAGTCGAGAGCTACCGAGGGGCAGTTGTCAAGTTCCTGTGTAACCCAGGATATGCTTTATTTGGATCATCATTTATGTATTGTAATGGTATTGTGTGGAATGGCACAATTCCTGAGTGTAAAGGTGATGTTTTCCATTTCAAGTTAAAATGTCTGTGAAAACATTCAATAAATATGTTTAAAATCTTTAATAGAAACTATGGGTACTAAATTCCTGCATCATGAAATTATTTATTATGTAATTGCATGTATGTATGAAAACATTATATTTGGATACAAAGATGATTCGGTTGAAGCTTCATGCTAGAAGAGCATATCATCATATTTACATAATGAGAGATATTTTGTCTAACAACCTAAAATAATGGGATGTATGCCAGAAGGGCATAATGCTGATGCTGCTCTTCACAGAGATATATACATTTACACTTGAGTGTATGAACACTAATAATGCACGGTTGTCAAACCAGATAGGTGTAAGAAATTAGTCTTCTGTAAATCAGCCATGTTGTGCCCAGATGCCCTTGAAATTAATTATAGTTATGAACTCTAAGAGTATGTAAAGTATTATGCCAAATCCGTGGTTGGAAATATGGGTAACATTAATTTTCCAATAATGTTACAGCCTCTGAGAAGATGGTTCAGACTTGGTGTGATTTTGAGTCACAAGATCTATGTGGATGGACCCAGGATCCACATCACAACTTTGATTGGAGCAGACAAAATTTTCAAACACCTTCAGGAAATGTTGGAACTGGCCCCTCATATGATCACACCCTGGGGCCAGACAGAGGTGGTTAGTTGTTCTACATCTGATTTTTAGAAATGCGTATGTATGCAGTTATTCTTATAACTGGGGCTCAATATACCCACTAGTCTGCTCGTATATATTAATATAAATTGTGTGTTTGTATTCGTGTATGAATGTATGTGTGCATGTATAGGAATAGGGGATTTAAACCCTTGTACTATGGCATTTTGGGCAGAACTTTATTTATTTTGTGGGTTAACAGTTTAGCAGTGTCACAATGCATGAACAGTAAAGGTTAATATTTGAAGTCTATATAAAATTGAATGTATTAAATATGTTATGCACACCTAAATCAAATATCCACAGATTTTTTCAGTCCACTTTAGTGTGCAAAGTTGAGGGCACTTAAATGAAAACATATGACAAACAAACAGAGAAACTTTAATGCCATTTACCCTGAGATACAAACAGGTTCTTGTCCTAGACAGAACTGTGATAAGAAGTTACATATCTTTGACTACTATTTCTGTGCAGGATACTACATGTTCATAGAGTCATCAAGTCCTCGCCTGGAGAATGACACAGCACGTCTATATTCTCCCGTTTTCACCTCACAGTTGACGGCGAGTCAGCCATCTTGTTTTATCTTCTGGTATCACATGTATGGAGCTACAACAGGTATGTAATGTACCTGAATGGTATTTTCAGGTTTGAAATTTCTCTATTACATTAACAGAAGTAAAGCATGGCAGATTAAAATGATTACTTAACATTTATTTTCATCTTCATTTGCTTCTTTAGACTCGCCCATCAACAAATTTAAGTTTCCTGTTTTCTGCGGCATACAAATGTAAGGCAAATGTAATTAGTACATTATATACAGTGTCTTGTTTACAGGCTCACTCCATGTGTACACAAAGGCAGAAAACACTGAGTTTAGTGCAGCACTGTTGCCAAGATTTGTCAAGTCTGGAGATCAGGGCAACCAATGGTATCAGGCTATTGTTTTGCTTCCCAGCATGAATGAGTCTTTTCAGGTATGTTAACAAAACTGTCTACTTCTAAAAACTCTTAATAAAATGCCCATATTTAAATAAAAGGTTTTTTGGATGTTAGCCATCGTCTAATAAAATAATAAAATTGAATGACTTTTGGAGATAGAGTCCCATCTCCAAAACGTCCAGAAAACCTTTTATTTAAATAACTCACCATCGTTACAAATTTTTAGATTTGAAAATGCCCATATATTCCTTCATAGAGTTGAACAAAGGCATTTGATATGTAACAGATAACTAACTCATTTAGCAGAGGCCTTCTTGAGAAGCTAATGGTCACTTAGCTAGTCAAGAAATTTTATGGAACCCGAAGATTCATTATTATATGGGTGAAAGATATTATATTTAGTAATGTGCCTATGTTATTACTTGTACAACTGAAGAGACATTACTTCTCTTTCATGTGTAAAGTTTTGTTTATAAATAATAAGGCTTCTTCAGTGTTAAGTTTATCGTTTTGAAAGACTCTATGCATGTAGGTGCCATCATCAATATAATACTGTATCATTCAGATCATGTCTTCATTGTATGCATTCCTCCCATATTTCTTTCCATTTTCCAAATGTCCATTCATCACCATTTAGCAATAGAAACAGTGTAGCGATTGTATGAACATTTTTATAATTTCTCGCTGCCATACTTCTTCCTCCCCTCTCCCTTCAATCAGATTCCGTAACTCCCACCGAGATAAAAATGTTTGGACGCTACTGACATGTTTGTTTTGAACTCATCATTTTTGGATCACTGAAAGGTGTAAGGGCTTCCACATTTCCACAG